AGGGGCGCCCCCTAGCCTACAGGAGATGTGTAGACAGCGGAGTCAAAGTGATATGACCGCGAACAAGACAGATGCCTCCGTTCTGATAGGGAAATATGATCCGGTTACACAAGAACTGCAATATGTTGATCCATATAGGATTGATGATGATGATGACGGGTCGAACCCTGGTCCCTTCCCGTCCTACCCACCTCAATCGTCTTCGGTGCGACAGCATCAACCGGGGCTTGAGGGTATAGAAGAGATTAATGACTACGATGAAGATGAGGAGGGCCTATTGGGGTCATGTCCCTCATCCCAACCGGCTTCCGCCAGGGTATTTGCTCATTTAGACGGCTTATTGGCGACTCCACCTCTCGAGCCGGCTCAAGGGATTCCTCCCGCTGTCACCACCTCACTGTCACCCTTCACCTCACACAACCGGGTAGACTCACCTCGACAACAACACGAAGAGCTCCAGACCGCACAGAAAGCTGCGGACGGGCATCATCCCTCGACTGGTGTGAGAAAGGGTGGTGGCCTGACGAGATACAATAGAGAATCTCAGGCTCAGGATGGCGGTTCTAATACGACTATTATGTTCCGCAACATCCCTAATAGATTCTCACCTGAGGGCCTGCGTGAAGTTATCCGGGACAAGGGCTTTGCCACGAGCATGGATTTTTTCTATATGCCTATGGACTTTCAGAATCAGTGTAACCTTGGATACGCTTTCATCAACTTTGTCAATGTGGACGAGCTCGACAGGTTTACTCAAGAATTTCACGGTCAGAAACTACCCCTATATAAATCGCACAAGGTTTGCGAAGTGTGCCCGGCCAGAGTGCAGGGCTTGAAGGCCAATGTTGATCATTTCCGTAAGTCTGCGGCGCGCGGTTCGATCCCCGATGAGTACAAACCGGTGTGCTTCCGTAACGGTGAAATGGTACCCTTTCCTCCACCCGAGAGGCCCTTCCACCGCAGTGGTAATGGTGAAGATCACAGAAGGTCGTCCAAGAGCTCCGCACATAGTGGCAAGTTCGGCGGGTTGCGTGGTGATTCTTAGATGAGTAGAAGAGTGTTGCTAGTGGTTTTATGAACGGGTAAATGTATTATAACACTACCCGTAGGCGTTTATTCGAAAATATGTACCATACTATATCGCAATTCAGTGTTGTCCCTGGCGTCATCTTTATCACCATTGGCGGTATTCTCATTGATCATGGGTGAGAGACATCGGTCCTGCAACTACTACACTACATTGCTGCTATCGTTGGGTATCACTAGATTATACACATTCTTGTCACTGTCAGAGT